TAATAATAAAAATGTATACATACATTGAATCAAATATCATTTCTGAATCATTTATAATTCAGAACAATTTATCATAAAATGATATAAAATATAGACAAATATAAATGAATATAGAATGTGTATTTAATTTAATTTTTATTTTTTTTATTTTTTTTTAGGAGCAAAATAATAAAAAGTATTATTTTATTGATTCAAAATATTTTGCCCTTTTCTTTTTGGGGTTTTTTATTTAGATGCATTATTTCTTTGCTTATTTCGGTTCCCAACATATAATACTGTTATTTAATTATTGTTGTTAAATGAAATTAAAATGAGATTATACAAATGAAAGATGAAAATAATAAGATTTGAATAGCAACGAAATTATGCATTTTATTCGTATTCATCATTATATTATTATAATGATTTGTGATGTTGTTAATTATTTCTTAATTGTTGTCTAAATGTAATGAATGTATTCATTGTTTGTTTAAAACATGGTGTTTATGTTTGATAGTTCATTGAAATGAATTATCATAATCCAAAATAATTCTTGTTAATTGATTAAAACGTAAAAAATAGTAGAAAATATTATTAGATGAAAATATTTGTGATTAAATATGAGAAGAATATATTTGTATATTATTAGTTCTATCTTTCTAATTCGATATCTGTATTAAATGAATATATCTGTTGATGAAATTAAAATAAAATAAATATAAAATGATAATGATAAAAGAAAGAATAAAGAAAATAATAAGAAAATAAATATAATGATTAATGATAAATTAATGAGTTATTATCATGAATGAAAGTTGAAGATGAACATTAAATTCATTATTATTATTTATAAATGTTTAATTTATATTACATATTAAATAGTCATTCTTCATTCTGTAATATTGTGTTGATGTTTAAATTATTCAATTTGTTATTATTATATCATCATTTCATTGATACTTCTTATTTATTATCTTTTTATTTGTTTCATCATTTATCTCTTGTTTTATATGATAATATAAATAATTTAAATTGTATATTATCATCATTCATCATTGATAATCATATGTAATATAATTTAATTTTCATATCAATAATTATATCATTTAAATAAATAAATAATAACATCTGTTAACATATCATTATGATATCTCATCATTGTGATAAATGAAATGTAACATAATTACTCATTAATAACAATACGATGGATATTCATATTTATATAATCATTGTTATTCATAACTAACATTATAAATTTGAATTAACATAATATTCTTCTTTATTACATTTCATAATGATATTTTCACATTAAAATAGAATTGAAGGTAAATGAAATGAAATAAAGAATAATATAAAATGAACAGAATTATGAATGAATATACTCAACAAATCAAGATACATCATACTCAATACAATAAGAAGTTACAAAATGTCAACTGATTGTTATAGAATTTGTATTTTACCTACATTTTATTTTATTTTATATTTTTATAATTTTAAGAGAAAATAATACAAAACAGAATAATCTAATATTCAAAAAATATATTACACTATTTTCATTTGACCATTTTATTTAGATTCATAATTTCTTCGCTTATTTTGGTTCCCTTCCCAGAAGAATTACATTGTGTATAACTATGACTATAAAAATAATTTAAAATAAAAAAGTATAACAATAATCATTTGTATTTAAAAATTATCAAAATTTAATTAGAAGAATATTGACAACTAATAAATTATATTCATAAGTATATTACTTCATTATATGCTATTTATTAAATAATGAAATTGATGAAAATAAAATTATATCAAAAGAATACTTTTAAAAATAGTTAAAACATTATAAAAATATTTGTTCATTGTTTATTAGTTGACTTAAACTAAAATTTTTATTTATTCATATTGAAATCAATTACTATATCAACAAGGTATAAATACCATCCATATAAAAATCCT